TCTCCTCATCATCCCACCGGGGCTGGCGGGGAGGAGTGAGCGAGCGGCTGCGTGGTGCTGGGTTTAAACCATAACAGGGACAAAAACCACTGAACAAGTCTCAGACCTACTAACTTTAATGGCATTGCTCAAACATCATTATTCACATGTCCAAATATATAAGGGTCCAGATCCAAATAATTTTATGTTCAATTCCTATTTGCTAAATTATCTCTTGACCTAAATCTTGCCATCTCTTTAAGTTCTCAATTGCTACTACTATAAAAACCTCATATAATTAGTTACTGACTATACAGGGAAGATTTGCATAAAATTACTCAGCAATAGATGCATGAACGTATTTTCTTAATTGTTAGTTTAGTTTCTTACTAGCTTCCCTGCCTTTTGTTGCAAGGCCTCAGTCATGCACACAGCCTGACAAAAGGCTTAGCATAGTATAACATGCCCAGTTTGGCTTAAAAAAACATTGCCTAAGTTTCCTCCTGTTCATGCTGGATATCTCACGCTTCTGAGGGATTTACCATCAAGTTCAAATTTCTCTCTTGGCTCAGCTTTACTTTTCAAACAGAGAAACTTAAGTCAAACTACCAAATCAAAATAATTTCTCCCAGCCCAGCCCCAGAGGCCTCTTTCCTGTTCGCCTCTGAAGGGAAGGTCAGTACTTCTTCTTAAGGTTTACTACACAAGCCTGCCTCCTTTATGCCTTTCTCAGACGGGGCTTTGCACCTCCACAAGGATCAGCTGAGTACTTTACAGCTCAACCTGAGCAGGGAAGAGGCCTGGCTGTAATTCTTCTGGCCCTGGAGGGGCAGTCAACCTCCAACAGAGACAGAGTATCGCTTCAGATGACTGGTGTTATACCTTCTGCAAACACTGAAACTCAACACTTAGGGTCAGAATAAGATGATGGATGATTCACATGCCAGGGAAAGAAAATAAAACTTGCAAGTTCTGGCCAGTTTGAATCTCTTCCCTCAAGACTTGTTATACTGCCAACATAAAGATCACAAAAATAAAGTAAGAATCTGCAGCAGG